TTCAGTGCTCAGCAAGTATTTTGGCATTTTTTTGTGTAAAACTGAAGGCCGACTGAAGGAGAATAGTTAAGTGTTGATTAGGTTGGTACTGTAGGGTTTTAGGGCTGATGGGACCCAAAATTAGCCCTTAATTTTAAGGGTTTTATGGCTGCTGTGACTTACCAAAAAGAAAAAAGCCTCGACCCGAAATAAGACCCATGGGCTCAGCGTCCGTCAATGTTCAATAAAGGTTGACATTACCAAAGCGTCCTCCACTAAAATACAAGAGAATATAAATGAAATTATATCAGTAGCAAAGTAACCTAAAATTAATCTTGCCGGAAAAAACCCTGAAATTATTAAAAGTAGGTCGATTCACACCTAAACTTGATTATTGCATGTGAAATTGCCAATTTGACCTTTCTTGTTAGCATGGTTTCTTTTTTTTATAAGTAACCAAAAAAAAAAAAACTGAAACAAACAAAAATGAAATTAAGAGTACTTATGATGACGAGTTGTGGTATAAAAAGCTTAAATTTGAAGTTGACTGATTTGAAATTTGCCTAATGTTGAGCTAGTATTTGTACTTGACCAGTAACAAATGACACTAGAACTCAAGTGATCTGCGATTTGCATTGTGTTCCATGTGATGCCATCTTGTTCCAGAAAAGTAAATTATCAATCCTTAGATTTTATTCTCACTCGTTTTTCTGTTACCCCTTCCGTCGTGGAATAAGTGTACCTCTTGCCTTTTTAGGATGATCGAAAACAAGCGTTCCTCTTAATAAGTCAATATTAAAAAATTGAAGCTTTCCTAAATTATCTTTAGGTTTTGAAAACATTCCTAAATTAACAATATATATATCTTTGAATTTTGGAGTTCTACTTTGGAATTTCAAAGGGAATGCATGAAATGTGTGTCCCCTTAAAATGTTGGAGTTCTCAAAAGGGACACTTGTCTTGGAACAGGGGGACAATGAAACTATTCCTAATATTGAAGTGGAAACTAATAGCACAGGATGTTGGATTATAGAAAAAAGGTACAAAGGGCAACGGATGCAATGAGGAAAGAAGTGTTATGATTTTAACAAGGTTTGTCTCTATTTAATAGACTTTAGAACAGTGAAAAGAATTCTCACGCACACCATAAAGATAATTGTTAGTTATGATTTTTACATGGTTTGGTCTTATTTAATGGGCTTTGATAGTGGATAGAATACTTGTGCAATTTGTGAGGAACCGCTGTAACCCGGCAGGACTCGTGGATACAGTGTAATCCCCGGATATTGGCAATCAGCTGCAAACCATGGATATCAATTAAACCAAGGCTTGAACTTGAGACCTCAAAGTAGTAACCCCGATACCCTTCCATCCAAGCGACCTTGACAGGTTACAAAGATAATGGTTAGTCTCTAATTGATGAAAATGAAAGTTGTACTGCACTGCAAATTACCCACATTATATCCATAAGTCAATCCATATAGATGAAGCCCGCCCCCCCCCCCCCCCCCCCCCCCCCTCCCGGGGGACCACAAACTGAATGGCATATAATGTGCACATCCTTGTTACATGTTTTGCATTCATCCATGTTTTGACAACATTTGTTTTGTATAGTGATAATATTTGGGGTCTTAGGGTTATTATATAGGAACTTTAAATCCATATCCCTAACCTTTCCCCCTTACTTGTTTTGCCTTAAAATTTTTTTTTTGATAAGTAATAATGAATTAAAAAAGGCGTTCAAAAGGGGAATGCGTCCCAAAGACATTAGTGGAACCGGGGGCTAAGGCCCTAAAGAATCCAAAAAAATAATTAAATCAACAGAAGAGGAATATGAACTCTTCTTCACATAACTAAAGAGAGAACGAATAATCCCACTGCTTTAGCTTCCAACTTGGCATTATATCCCATATGCAAGTATATCTCTCCTTCATTGAGGCATCTGGACTCCTGGAATCCCTGCAAAGAATTGCAAACATGACAAGTTTCAACGTCGCCGTAGACGACTCCTTCCCTGAGAACATTCTACTATTTCTCTCCTTCCAGATGCACCACCAAAGGCAATGTGGGACAATTCTCCAATAATCGCGTACACTTCTACTCACACAACATCCTCTCCAAGCATGAATCAAATCCTTAGAAGAACGTGGCATCACCCAACACATGCCAACCAACCCAAGAATAAGATTCCAACAGTCGTGCGCCACGGGGCAATGCATTAGGAGATGATTAACTGACTCCCCATCTTACTTGCATAGGGAACACCAATTAATAAAACAATTTCCCTTCTTCCTCAAATTATCAATTGTCTGTATCTTTGCCCCAAACAGCTGTCCATACAAAGAATGCCACCCTAGTTGGAGCCATAGAGCGCCAAATGGTCTTCCATGGGAAATCAAGGTTGACAAAATTAGACAGACATAAGAATAAAGATCTTATTTCAAAGCGACCGTGAGAAGAGGGAATCCATATCAAATTGTTATAACCCCTGCCAAATTCTTCCTGCCGATACAATTGGTCCAGAAATGAACGTCGAAAATGCACGTCCCACGTAATCCCACTACTATTTAACCGTTAACAGTCAGCTACGTAGGCATGTTTATCAATTGCAATACTGTATAATCTGGGAAATGTACGAAATAATGGCTGATCCCCACACCAAAGATCTTCCCAAAAACAGACGCATCTACCATCACGAACTTTGAATCTGATATGTGAGGAAAAGGCATCCCAACCCTTTTGAATCGACTTCCACGCCCCAACTCCTCGTACAAGAGAAACTGGATGGGTAGTCCAACCGCCAACGTCTTCCCCATACAGACATGAGACTAACCTTTGCCAAGGACGATGTTTTTCCTTCCCGTATCTCCACAACCATTTTCCCAGGAGAGTTTGACTAAAAGGAATCAATCGTCTAATGCCAAGGCCACCCACCCAACTTAATGGGCATGCAGACTTGCTCCCATTTGACAAGGTGATACTTGAACTCTTCTCCCCTTCAGCCCCAAAGGAAATCCCTTTGAATTTTTTCAATTCTATCAGCAACGGAGCATGGAATTTGAAACATAGATAGAAAATATGTGGGGAGGCTTGATAAAGTGCTCTTGATAAGAGTTACTTTACCCCCCTTAGACAAGTATCGCTTCTTCCATCCTGCCAACCTCTTTGCATACCTGTTAATCAGAGAATCCCAATTCCCCACAATCCTGGAAGAGACCCCTAGGGGCAAACCCAAATAAGGAATAGGAAAGGAACTCACCCCACACCCAAGTACTGCAGCTAAAGAAAAGATATCCTGAACATTCCCAACCGGGACAAACACACTCTTAGCCACGTTTACCTTCAACCTGGGAACCACCTGAAAACAAGCCAGGATGCACCTCAAGTATCCGAGTTGAGACAAATCCGCATCACAGAAAACTAGGGTGTCATTTGCAAAAAGTAAATGAGAGACCAACGGGCCAGTGGCTTAGCGGTATCAGCCTTATACTTTCCAAAGAGAGGTTAGGGGTTCAAGTCTCAGAAGAGACGTGTGTGAGTACCAACTAGGAAAAAAAAAATGTAAATGAGGGATCTCCACCTGTTGGTCTATATCTCTTCCCACCCTAAATCCCTTGATGAGACCAAGATCCTCTGCCCTGCACAAAAGTCTGCTTAAGCCTTCCATAACAATTTGAAAGAGGAAAGATGACAAAAGATCGCCTTGTCTTATACCCCTAGTGCACTAAAAAAATCCAGCGGGAGAACCATTCACAAGAACTGAGAACTTGACGAACCATGCTCTACAGAAAATTTAAATCTTTTCTCTACCAATCGTTGCCTTCTTAAGCCACAAAGTCTATAGCCTTTCTTCTAACCTTTTAAAACCTAGTACTTCCCACAACATTAGCCCACCTCGAAGTCAATAGTAAGTGGCACTATATCAGTGTTCGTTTGTGCTTGTCCTACAACTCTGTATCAGGGTTCATTTGTGCTTGTCCTATATTATGACAATTAATTTTTCTAAATCGTATAAGACTTTATATATACCCTTTACCTCTCTAATTCTCTTTTTTTATTTTTATTTTTATTTTTTAATTTTTGGCGATTTTTCTTCTTCTGAACATATTCTAGCTAACTAATTAAGAACAAGAAGAATATGGTGGACCAATTATGTTTTTATTATTATTATTTCGTGAAAGGGTAAGCTTAATACTGTAGACCATTACCTTCGCTTGTACTTGTCAGTTCGGCATGTTTGCATGGATGGATTGGGTGAACATCGATTTAATTGGCATGGAGCTACTTCCCTATGCACTCATGATTGTGCTCTCAGTAGCTTGAGCTATTAATTGGTTTATGACAACTACATTAGAAGGTTTTGATTTACCTCGTTGAAGAGAGTTGACAAGTTTATACATTTGCAAGGATGCTTTTGCTGGCATGTTTAGAGTATTGAAATTGAGCAGAACAGTTAGTGCTATTTTTGTTCAGATTAGGTGCATTTGGTATAACAGGAGATTAGGAGCATTAGGTATAACAGGAGATTAGGAGCATTACAATGGGGATAATAGTTTTTTATTACCAATTTTCCGTTAGATCATTTATTTTTTTCTGTTTTTGGAGGGTAATGATCCCACGTTCTTGGCAAGTTAGGTTTGTGATATTGCTTAAAAGCCTTGGAACAAAGTGATTATGTTGTTAAAAGTTAGCCTAGACTGTACATCGGAATAACAACTTTCGAGTTGAGCAGCGTAAAGAGTGCCTCTCTCTGCATGACATCTTTTGGGTCTTGAAACTATGTTGCCAACCCAACGAGAATAAAAGGAATCTTTAAAGTTTTTTTCTTTTTTCCCATACCAATGGTGTTTCTCCCTCTAAATCAAAACACTAGGCACACACACTGGTGCACATTCTTCTTGTATTGTCTACGTCTTGATAGTATCATTTGTTTAAAATCAAAGTAAATTGTGTAACTTCCACCATTTAACAAAAAGATATTTATTGATCTATGATTGAGGATGATTACTTATTTTTTTCAGGCAACAGCAAGGTGATGAAACACCAATGGTATGGGAAATGCTCCTGTACATCTATATCCTCTATTCACCAGATTGGCATTACCGGAGTACAATGCCCACATTCTTGTTCCTCTATGGTGCAGTATTTGCCATTGTGCATTCACAGGTCCGTTTCACAATCGGTTTTAAGTTGCACTACGTGGTGCTTTGTTTTCTCTGCATCCCGCGGATGTATAAGTATTACATCCACACAGAAGATAGATCTGCAAAGCAGCTTGCCAAATTATATTTGGTCACCTTATTGCTAGGGAGTCTTTGTTGGCTCTTTGATCGTCTATTCTGTAAGGACATTTCTCACTGGTTCTTCAATCCTCAGGGTCATGCTTTATGGCATGTTTTCATGGGTTTTAACGCCTATTTTGCAAACACATTCTTGATGTTCTGTCGTGCTCAGCAACGGGGATGGGATCCAAAAGTCATCCATTTCTTGGGAATTTTCCCCTATGTGAAGATTCAAAAACCGAAGGCTCAATGAATGATGTTAATGCTTGAAAAGGCCCTATGATTTTGGAGGTAGGTGAATGGTTTTGGGCCATAAAAGCAAGTAGCTGCAATTCATTTTTGTTCGATTCCTTCTTTTCCTCTTTCTTTGAAGAGTGCAATGTAAATGATTGAAAATTGATGTGGTTGTTTTGGATAGTGGTTAATTTTTACCGTAGAACTAGTGTTTCCCCCAATGTACCATATTTATATTTATATGTTTCTATTGATAGTCATGTGATACAGATAGTTATTAGTGGGATTGTTTTTACCGACACTTCGTTCGTAGATCAATTTTGTCTTGCCTTTTGGAATGTAGAGTGTGTTTTTTAGATGGGCCCTTCTAAATTTAATTCAGCCACAGCCATACACAAGTGTGAGGTTTAGGTACCAATTTAAGCATTTGATTTCAAGGTACGTGCTGCCAAGACAAGCATCAAGTAATGTCAAGCAGGCCAAACGAGAAGGTATTCAAGAAGAATGTGCTCAATATCTTGGTAGTCGGGCATTATGTAGAGTCAGTGGTCAAGTTGGTAGAGCGTCTACGTTACCAACATAGTTTTGATGTTGTCACCAACATAGTTTTGATGTTGTCAGGGTGGGGTGGGATTTTTTATTTTTATTTTTAGGCAAATGAATTCATTGAACTAAATAATCAGAGCTACATTCTGAGGCGGCTAAGAAGCTTACATTACTTGGAAGCTCAGTTGCAGAAGGCACTAAAAATATATTTGAAATGCAAAGCAAAGTGCTCTCTCTCTCTCTCAATCCAGCACATACTAAAGTGAGTTTGCCTATCTGAGTTTGCCAACTCATCAATATCAAAATATGCTCTGTAATTTGCCAAAGTGGAGACTTGGGAAGACAAAATCCTCATCACAGCCCAGTAGCCAACCTCAAAACACCACCTCAGAGCATCCCCATTCGAGCGCCCAGATAATGGCTTTGCAAGCAACCAAAGCTATTTTACACGCAACCAAAGCTATTTTACACGCGACTCAACCTCAATCTCGATCTAGATTTTTTGTCAAATGTTGAAAAATAAAAATAACAGAAAATATTTTACCTGAAAAAAGAAAATGTTATCCGAAGAAAATATTGTACGTCGAAACAAAACGGAGCCTAACGAGAACACTTGGATAATAACTTTTGTGATAGTAGTGGTGTGTGCATTTGGTTAAACTTAAAAAAAAAAAAAAAAAAAAAAAAATTATACTTTAATGCTTGTAGAAAAAAAAAAAAAAAAAAATGATAGGAAAAGAAGAAGGAATGGATGACAAGTCCCTAAAAAAGAGATTGCGTTATTTCTTCTTTTTGTTCAGTTGAATGAGAGAAAATATAATAAATTCACAATTTACTCATTAGGAGATAGGGAAGAGATAGTTCTAATTTAGGATAGTAGTAATTTAATTTGTTTGTATAATTTAGGATAGCAGTGATTTAGCCCACTTGTTTTCCTTCATTTTTCGTTCATATTTGGAGGGATGGAAATTTGTGAAGATATAATGATTATTCATCCCTCCTATTATCCTTTTTCTCCTCTACCGAGAAGTTTATTCTTTTCTATCTATCATCCCTCCCAAGGACAGATCCAGAAAATATGTGAGAGGGGGCAACCTTTAATAAAAAACGTATAGTTTTTCTCTAATTTCAATGGGAGCAAACTCAAAATTTTGTTACTATAGAATTCATAAAAGCAAAATTAGTGGGCATAATTGCAAAAAGAAAAAAATTTCAATGGGTACAATTGCCCCTGAGCCCATCACACCTGTGCCTGATCCCTTCACACATCTTCATTCCTTCTTTCCTACCGAACAAAGCATAATTATGAGGTAAATGCTATTTTTGGTGAAAATGACAGATCTTTGAATAATCAAAGAGCACTTTTACGAAGTAAAATTCTTTCCTGAAAGAAAAATAAAAAAAATAAAAAATAAAATAAAACAAAGTTGAAAATGTTATGCATGCATTATGATTTCTATTGTCTTCAATTCCTCTCTATCAGGTAAGTAGTTCCTATCCCATGCAAGTGCATAACTCACATAACAATAATTGATCAGCATGACACAAAATCCCACACCATTTGATCAAGAATGAGTAGGTACTTCATATTCTCTAGTGCTCTAGACATTGTATCAGCAACTTGCTCCCCCTGGCTATTGGAAGCCCACATTTAGTTTTTAACCGCCCCACAATATCTTTGCTATAGCTTTCTTGTATCTTCTTCAAAGTTGTCCAAATACCAATGTCAAACATTTCATTTTCATACATTTTGTTATTCAAAATACTCAATATAAAGTACTAAATATAGTTGTTTTTCATACCCTAACATTTCCCAAATGCCAATTCTCCTTACTTCAATTCTCAGAAGTCTCATCTTCATTTCTCAGATTTCTCAGTAACTCTTTTACAATATTATTGAGGGATGGCAAATCATCTATTTTATCAGCAAATCTTGCTGCAGATTTCTTATGCTGTCTTCTTGAAAAGTTGTCCAAATAACTACGTCAAACACATCATTTTCATACATTTTGTTATTCAAAGTACTCAATATAGTTGTTTTTCCCACCCCAACATTCCCCATCTCCCTGCCTCGTCATCCCATTGTTTCTGATGATCTAGCCACATTGCCATGATGCCATCCTACAAAACCAGAGATCAATAATTATTAATTTTAAATTATGCCATGTTTCATAATTTTGGCACAACTAGAATCTCCCTTAAAAAAAAATTCAGGACTCCCTACTTTTCCCGACACATATCAGTTTCCTCTCTCGGTCAACAGTCAAAATTGGTCAAAGATAACTTTTTACTGACATCAGCAAAAAATAAAATTTTAATGCCCAGATTGCCCCTTGGTTATGTTTGGCTACAGACTATATAACACTAAAGTTATTGCTCCGAGGAGGACTTCTCCAAAGTTAGTACTCCCCTCTAAGAACAGGGGCGAATCCAGAAATTGTTAATTTGGGGGGGGGGGGGGGGGGGATCGAAAGATTAAAGAGTTGGAAAATTTTAGAGGAAATAGGGTTAGACTTTAGAGGGAGAGAATGAGTGAGCTCTTTGATTTGTGTAAGATTAGGAATTTAAGAGTTCTATGTGCTTCGCCTTAGTGATTGTTTAAGGCTTGTTTGGCTTGGGCCTATTTGGTTGGGTCAATTGCTTTAAAATTGTGGCTTAAATATTGGGCTTGTTTGGATGGGTTAAAATTGGGGGACTAATACTAGAACAATATATATTTGAAGCTCTCAGCCAGCGCCAGCAACAGGTCGGATATTCTCCGGCATATCAGCCAGCGCCAGCGACAGGTCGACCGAGATGGGGTGGATTTGAAGCTCCGCGTCTTCGAATTTGCAATTGCAGTGGGAGGATTTGATTTATTTTCCTGGATAATTTTTATATAATTACTTTTAAGAAATTTGAAGACTGCTCGGATATTCTTTATTAAGATGATTTGCCAAATTTATATAATATTATATATAACTCATATATAGTTCATTGCTGACTGTTATCGATGCAGGAAATGGCTGTTTCGATTATTAGATTTAATTTCAGTGCATAACTTACCCTTTTTTATATCTTTTTGTTAATGATGAAAGCTGTAGAGACGAAGACCTTACAACTTGTAAAATATTATAAATCCGACTTAGGTGAAACAATCTTAATTAAAACCTTGTTCTTAAAACGTGTTTATTAGTTTTTGAGGCTGTTTCTTTCTTTGAACCATTCCCTCATTCATTGTATATCCTGAATTTTCTAATAACTTTTTCATGCATGAAATATGGCCTTGTGCATGTATGGTTGCTAGTTTGGTAATTTCCACAACAGTCTCCGACCCTCCGGTGCACTTAGGTTAATTTTAACGATTCCCATAGCATTGTGAAATACAAGTGCAGAGGTCTGTGATTTAATGGAAGAATTATAGTGGAAGAATTTTCTAAGTTGGCAATATATACTGTAACTGTACACAACTAAGAGAAGAGTAAGTAGTTTGAAAGAGGTGTCTAGAGCCGTAAGAGGGACTTGTTGCATTTGGATTGTAGCGCCAAGGTTCTCTACTAATTCTGTAATGATTAGTCTTGAATTATAAGTATTATATATAAGTTATATATATACATGATTGTTGTGGTGAGTCATAATCCGCCGTCACCCCACCAACGACCTCCGCGAACTGCACGTTACTACCGCCGGAGCAATTCAACGACGTGGATTTGCTCGCGAGTAGGGGGTGGCGCCGGTTCAGCGACGGCGATCGGAGTACAATATGCCGAGTAATTTAACTCACTCATTTCTCTCTCTAGAATACATTCGATTGAACAAATCACAAATCTCCTAATCTAGTCAACAAAGTTTAAAAATTAAAATTAAAATTGATCAGATTGATAGAATTGGAGGACTCGGATTGGGATTGTGATTGGTGGGCCATTGAGATTTGGAGGAAAATCTGAAAGCTAGAAAGAGGTCAAGAGTGTGTGTAGGTGCAAAATTTCGCTCAACCAATAATGACTGAGAAAAATAAAACAACTCACTCAAAAACCATAAAAATAAATAAGAACAATGTGTAGAGAAGTGTGAAATTGCTTGATCCTTTATTGGAGGTCTTAGCCCCTATTTATATACAAAAGATTGCAAAATTATGGTAGGACTCGCGTTGCTTGCCCTCCAATTCTTTCTATATAACCATACTTTTCTAATAGAGTTCTTTCCATTGTTGAATTTTCCATACATAGAACTTGCCTTGTACAGAACTTCTATCCGAATTTTCCTTCTACGGTAAATTCTTCAAATGGTAGGATTTGTGCATTCTTGGGCTGAATATATTTTGATCCGGCTGGGCTTGGGTAACAGGCCGGATGTTAAATACTCATATCTGGGCTGACGACAAGCTGGGCTGATGGCTTCTTGAGTCGGCCTTGATGGAATGGTCTTGGGCTGTAAATACCCTCAACTTGGGCTTGAGCATGATGGGCCTTATATGTCCTTGGCCTGTAGATATGGGTAGTGGTGACGTGTGCGTTTTTTATTGGAGGGAGTTTTTTTCCCTCCACACTTTGCCCCAAATTCCATTTTTAATTGAGTGACGGCTCCTATTAAAGAGGGAATTGAAACCGGTTTTCACTTTGCTTCAGAAACGGTTCGTGGCCTTTCGTTATTACTTCCGTCGCACAAGATTTTGCAAGGGTTACATTTGCCCTTGCTGCACTTCTGCGTCCTTCATTTCATCGCTTCCTTCGCTTTGTCAGGTTAGTCTCGCATCTTTCTCTTCAATCTTTCATTATGAGTACTTCATCTACTCCCGAACGTGTAGACCTTGGGGATTCTGAATCCACACCTTCATCTTCCCCCATTCGCATTAGGGCTCCCCCTCCTAGGGTTTCTACAGATCACCCTTCGTTGAATTCATCAGGTACTTCCCCTCTTCCAACCGAAACATCCACCTCAGGCTCTGATTACGTTCTTACCCATGAAGAGAAGAAAGCAATCATCTCTATTCGCCGCATCAAATTCTCTATTGCTTCGGTAATGGAAGAATTTGATGTTCCTGAAGGAGTAGACATTCCAGAATATCCCGAGGGTGCCGATTTCACCTCCGGCGAGGGAATTGAGGAGGATGAGTTGCTTCTTTCTGTAGGGCACCTTAACGCCCTCCGATTCCCTCTTCATCCCTTCTATCATTTAGTTTTCAATAAGCTAGGTCTTGTCCCCCTTCAAGTAAATCCCAATTTCTTTCGCATCCTTTCGGCGTTGTTGGTGCGCCGGAAATTAGAGGCTCTGGATTTGACCCTTGCCGACCTTCTGCTTACTTACAATATATCTAAGCATGGGACCGAGCCTGGTCGCTTTTTTTTTACCTCTCCCCTTCATCAAAGGATATGCACGAACCTTCCTTCATCCGAAAAGAAATGGAAAGAAAGGATGGTTGTAGTTAAAGGGAAATGGTTCGTGTCCCAATCAATTGCGCTTCCCATTCCGCGCAAATTCGGGAAATTAGGTATAGAATATTTAACCTCCCTTCATACCAAGTGTTCTGGCTGTTTTCCTTGCCAAGTCTTAATATTTCGCCGTATTTATGAATTTCTTGGTGTTTTTTCAGCTACATTCCCGGCCTCCGCAGCAAGGAACAGACTTTCTTTTCTTGAGGAACGAGTCTGGAGTAACCCCTCGCCTATCGAGGACCTGCTAACTTCCTCCAACCTCAAGGACATTGCTTCCAGTGCCGTTGCTGCAGACCTCATGGACCTGGCTTTACCATCCTTTGACAGTTTCCCTATGACCGAGGAGGAGGTACGGCGGGCTGAGGCTTTAAAAAAGAAAGCCGGAGATGCCCAACCCTTGGTCGTCATTGGATCAACTGAGGATGAGGTGGAGGTTGAGGAACCACCATTGAAGAAATCTCGCCTCAACCCCTCTTCCTCTGGCAAGGGCAAAGTCCCCTCTAAAAGCAGAGGGAAAAAAGCTGGGGAGGCTGAACCTGAAGATGAAGTCAGGGCCTTTGTTCTTGCTGAGACTGGAGCTCCTTGGACTCCTTCCTTCACCAGGGCTGACAGGTCAGTCCTACACTCAGGGGATTCTGTGGTTACAGACCCTTCAGTTGCACTGGCGGTGGCTCGAGGAATGTGGCTCCCAAAGGACGAGGAAGCCATCAGCCAAATGGGGTTGGAGCAACTTCTCCCCTCTGCCCCAGTCCGGGCCATAGAGGTTCGCATTGCACCTTCAGAATTATGCTACTCTTGCCTGCTTGTGTTTCTATTTATGCTTATATTCGCTTCCCTGTTAAACAGAGTCTATACCACACCATGGCCCTCTGCGCCACTGCTGAAGCTCAATCCCTCTCCATCAAGAAGTTGGAAAAGGATCTTGACAATGCAGAAAAGAGAGCCACTACTGCCTCTACCAATCTGAAGATAGCTTCTGAAGCCAAGGATGCGTACAAGAGGCAGTTGTCAGCCTCTGAGGCTAAGGTGGATTCTCTTCAGGCCGAGGTTCAACGCCTGACCGAGGCTCTTACTACTTGCTTCAAGGCAGGGAAGCAAATGCAGGGGCGCTACTCCTGTCTGGCGCACCTGGCTAGTGCTAAGGCGTTCCGGTCTGGCTATAATCAGGGCTCAGGCCCTAAGACGATGGATCCGGACGCCTTTGACAAGCAGGTAGGGGTGCACTTCCCATATGATGAAGGGCCAGAGGCTTTAGAAGCTGAAATTCGCTTTGCCGAGATGGTGAAGGCACACCTGAAGGGTACTCCTAGCTCCCCTGCTCCTGCGGCTACCTCAAGTCCTAATGTAGTGGATGCTTTTGAATCTACTCCCTTCGATCCGAAGAGGAAGTAGAACTATGTATTTTGTTTTTATGAACAGCCTGTTTTGGGATAATGAATATAACTTTTCGTTTTAGGCTTGCCTGACTTGTTTTTGCTATATGCTCTTAATATATTTCTCTAACTGGTATTGTGTTTAAACACTAAACATTGTCTTTATACTTCGGATTTATGCTATCCGTGAAAATGCAAGGATTGTGGGAAGAAGGAGATCCCTTTTAACAGTTTAGTTGATATCGCAGGACGAGTCGTATGGACAATGATTTAACTGTTAAATGAACCTTCCTCGCCTTCTACTTGCCTTCAGTATACATACTCTTTCCTTCTC